TAATGAATAACTAATTGCTATTTGAATATAATAGTCGAACAAAAAAAAAATTGAAACTCATCTTCATGCTGCGACGTCAAGTTCTCTTATGGGAAGGTGTGGGAACATAAAATTAAAAAGTTTGTTGATTCTAAATTGTAAAAAAGTTTTTGACATAACTGTGTCATGTGAAAAAACCAACATCCAGTAACGGAATACAGTATAATGCAAAAAAATCCCTAGATACCAAGATAACAAATTAATAAAAATGCAATACATTTTTAAGTAGAAGAGACCGGGGCACGTTGTAACACGGGGCAGGTAGTAACGTTGCCCGTAGCAACCAACAGAATGATACGTCAGAGATACGATTTCGTGTATCAACCCGCTCCTAAATGGAGGTGTTAGCACGTCGTGTTTTCGACCGATACGTAAAAAACGTTTATTTGATTGCCAAAGTAACTTTTTGAGATAAGGAATATTTTTAAATATCTTCTTCATCCTAGTAGTAGTAAAAAAAATATTATATTTCTAAAAGAATACGTGGTCTGGACAATCATTTAGCAAGTTAGTCATTTTGTTTAGCTCTTTTTTATTTTGTAATTTTCTTATTTTTGTGATTGTACGTTGGGTAAGATTTAACAAATTCTTTGGGGTACATTGTAACGTGTTACAACATACCCCGTGCTATAAGATACATTTGGTTGTTTTTATTTGCAGTATGAGGAACTACAAGAAAAAAGTGAGCGGGGGTAGACACCCAAAGAGGTGATTGAGAATGCTGTAAATAGAGTTTTACATAATAATGAATCGGTTAGATCAGTGTGGCCAGTCATGCTAATATTTGTCATGTAACTCTCTCCAGATATGTTAGGCGATTTAGGCAAAACAACAATAATGGCAACGATACAACTTTAAAAGCATTTCATCCGAGATGGTCCTCCAGGGTGCATTGGTGCTGGCAATGGATGACAGCTGAGAAGTTTTACACTTTATGCAGCACTTTGTTTCTTATGTTCAACCCACTAAAGAAAAACCAGTCCTACTATTATTAGACAACCACGACTCTCACACGTCTTACAAGACCGTCGAATATGCCAAAGACAATGAGGTGATATTGCTTTTATTCCCTTTCTATTGTTCCCACCGTCTGCAACGGGCCTTTCAAAAAAATATGTCTTCTGAACATGATACTTGGATGCGAAATAATCCGGGTAAATCAATGACCATCTACGACATACCCGGACTGGCCCGAGAAGCTTTGCCTTTAGCTCTTACACCCAGAAATATTGCTAAATGCTTTCAGTGTACTGGCATAGAACCTTCCAACAGAAACATATTCAGTGAAGACGATTTTTTATCGGCAAGTGTTACTGATCGGCCACCGCCCCTCGCACCTGAAGCTCTAGTAGAACCAGTAGATAACCTGTTATCTTCCTCTATTGAAACTCTTTAACTAGTGCCTGTAGAACCTTAACCTACTAACTTCTCCTCATGACGCGTTTCCAAAAACAAAAGATAATCAGCCAACTACTTCAAAAGCTGGTTATACCTCCCGAATTTTTTAGGCTACTACTTCTACTTTTTTAGTTCCTGATTTAGAGAATTCTACAAATTTGATCTCTGGATACGATAACAAAGTTCCTTCTACTTCGCAGAGCCCTGATTTTTCTCCAATGCTAAGTTTGTCACCATCACACTTTTCTCCTGCAGCAGTTAGACCAGTTCCCAAAGCTGCACCTAAGAAACAAACAAGAGGTCGGAAAAAAAAAGGCTGCGGTTCTAACTGATACACCTGAACTAGACGCTTTAAAATGTGAAGCTGCCACAAAACTTTCAAAAGTAGGTAAAAAAAAAAATAAGTTAAAAGCAGCAAAGAGGAAAGTGCTAGCAGATTCATCTGACGAAGATGACACCATTTGTTTGCGGCGATAATTTCGATAATAGTAAACCAGGGGAAGTGTGGATTCAGTGCCGTAAATGCACACGAAGAATGTACACCGTGTATATCTTTAGGTTATACGTGTCACCACTGCGATTCTGACTATGACTAAATGAGAGTCAAAACATTGAAAATCGCAAATAAGCGCTATAAGTTTTTTTTGCAAATGAGTGTATCTGTTATTTGTTTTTTAATTTATCCACAAGATTTGTTAATTTTTCTTAAATCAGTTTTGTTTTAATTAGAAGATGAATTTTGTTTAATTTTTTATTAATGTTTTTTTATTTGATTTTTTTTAATAAAGCCATCCTTAAAGTGAAAATCAAGTTAGACCACTGGAAAACATAGCTACCACCAGAGGGTAGCAACTCAATAAGGAAAAAAATAAGAATGCTAATTTAGTACCACTCCGATTAACGGAATGGCTCTCCTGTCGAAATGACAGTTGTCAGTGTCATTTGCTTCAACCATCATCATCAAAAATTTATTTAATTCCATTGACATCAAACGAGAAAAATGTGTTTAATTTTTAACATTATTTTAGAATAATTATATTTTGACATTAAAAATTATTATTAAACAATTTAAATTTATTATTTATGGTTGGTAGATTCTGTTATTGGTATTCTTAATAATTTTGCATTATTTACAATTCAAGGATTTGTAACGGTATTTTATTACTTATATTTGCTTTAAATATTAGATTTTCTGGCCTTTATAGATAGGACAAGAGAATTAATATTTCATAACCCTATTAATGATAAATTAGCAGATGACTAAATTCTTCACTTAATTTAAGTAAATTAATAATATTAAGCAAATGTATATGTGTAGATTCCCAGAAACTATTGCACTCCAATCTAGTTAGTGGGTTTTGTAAGCATGAGAATTAGTAGTTTATGCAACAAGAGTGGATATGGACAATCCATTCGAGTTGTACAGATATTTTTTCTGCGGCCCACGAAAATTTTAAATTATTAAGATAAAATAACAAATTTTAAAATAATTTATGAATTTTACTAATTTATAAAATAAAATAAACATGAAAAATAATTTAATTTAATTATTCTCCAGCCCAGATTCGAACCCGGATTTTTTCGCCTGGAAGGCCACTGCCAGTTTTAGGATTTTAGTTTTAATACTTGTAATTAAATTAGTTTCATATAGTTTGATTAAAATTTATTTTTTTTTAAATGTTAACCAAATAAAAATAAAAATGCTATTATTTATCGATTCTAGACAAATCTCAATGACTTAAAAATGTACTGACAATTAGTTTGACAGGATTGTCATTTATTTAAAATGTTAAAAATAATAGTAGTTGGGTATCCAAAATATGAACTGATTGGTGTATTTCATTTTTTTTTGTAGTGTTCTCACTACCTAGAATGAATATGCCTGTCTTGTGTAATCCCTACCATAAGAAAAAAAAAAAAGAAGAAAAAAAGAAAACCAGAAGGAAAATTACCGTTAGAAGTATAAATGGTTGTTTGAAAAATACAAAAAGTTTAAAAAATTAAAGATGATTCACTAATAGAATAGTTTTATAGTTTATCTGAAGCTAATAATATATCAAAAGATATTAAAAAGACAGAAGAGGTAATATAAGTATATTATTTACAATTTATTAAAATATTTCAAACATGCCTGGGTTAGTTCGGAACAATTTTTTAATTTAGTTGTTTGTTTCGTTATTAAAGGGAGAAGATTAAACAATTTTGGGCCAAAATAGGAGAATGTTCGTTGTGTTAGGGTTTTCTGAAAAAAATCTACGTTCAAATGTGAATTTGTAGTTGCCCTAGTTTTTGATGAAACTTTATGTAATTTATTCTGATCTATGTGTACCCTTAGTAAGTACTGATAGGTATATAATTGTCGAAGTAAAAAGATCATTCCTAACCTACGAAAATTATGATAATTTTATATGGGATCTTCATCAATCTGTAAAAAATAATTGCTTGGCAACCCTGTAAACTGCAGAGTTGCCAGGGAAGTTTAAGGTCATCCTAACAACACTGCAGTAAACAAATATTTGACTATGACTAGACAGAATCTGCCCCTGATCACACACATTCTGGCTGGTCATTGCCACGTACGGAAGCATGGCTCCATATCATGGGGCTGCAGGGGGTGCGAACAAGAAGATGAGACCATCGAGCATATCCTCTATGATTGCCCGATGCTCTCATTTATTAGAAGATCGGCGAGTATCGGCTAACACCGGCCGATATAAAAGAAGCCTCTCTTGGCGACGTTGTCAACTGCATTAAATATGTAGGCTGGCTCACGAGCTAGGAGGTGCCTATGATCCAAGGAGGCTGCACAATGGGCCTAATGAGGTCTAAGTTCCGTGGGGGTAACGTACCCTCCACACGTTACAGACACAGAAGCCTGTAATATTTTTCAAAAATATTTTAGGTTTCAATACAGTATTACCAGACCATTCTAAAAATGAAATAAAATACAGAGTGTTCTATTTAAAAAGTATACATTTTTATTTGCCAGGCAAGAGCGGAACACCCTGTATACCCATATTTTTAAAGTTTACCTTCTTCAAATCCACATAACTTTTATTTAAGACTTGTTTGCGAATCTATAACACAAATTGAAATATCGAGCAATTACGCTTTAATGGAACAAAAAAAATTAATAATTTTGGGTAACATCTTTGCAGGAATTTGATTTCTAGATTATATCAGAAACTAAAAACAAATAAGAAACGTGCAGGTACTTTTAGTAGATATTATCATCATTAATTTTATTAGGCATCTTTCTTTTATAAAGAAATCATTTTTTCTCAAAAAATATTGGTTGAAACCGCTACAGAGACATCAATAATCGATCAGAACAGTAACCCGATGTACCAAAGTACTTTTCTTGAAAATTACGTAAGTAACCTTACTTCTAACCTTACTTACCATGTCTATAGATAGATAAAATAGAATCGAACGTAGTGAAAAAACACAGTCCGCGCAAGGTCATACGGCTAAAATCGCAATGACACACCAATGAGAGGCGTACATAAACCAGCTGTACAAAAAATCATCAAAACCATCTTAAATTTATCACAAAAACTTACCTTAAGATTCTATTAGTGTCCCACGAACGATTTTTATACCTAACCGAATTGATTGGTGTACTTATCACATGTATACAATTTTTATCGCACCCGCGTCAATTATTCGACACTTATCCCCCTAAATAGAATTATTTTCGCTAAAAACCACCTCGATAGGAGTTGAACAATGGCGGACACATCGCTTTTTGGGCCCGTTTGACAACTGCAACAAATGAACACCGCCTAGCGTTCCACAGCCACCGCGACTTGACTTAACTCGACGTCGACTGGGTAATCCGCTTGGATATTATAGAAAGGAAAAGTTGTTTGATCAAGTGGGCAGTGGGCGGTCTGCGGTATGGTGCGGTGGCTTGTCAGTGTTGTCACTGAACTTGAGGATCGGTTCGAATCGGGCGAGGTCGGATTCGCGTACGAAGCTGATAAAAACGTTCATCAAGGTTGCGGTGCGAAGAAGAACTTAAGTCTGGGAGTAAAAAAAGCCAAGAAGGTATGCAGATGCTTCGGGAATGTTTATTTGTACGTAACAATACTAGATTTATATCAGATACATACTCAGTGGAATGTCTACTGGAGGTTTTCAAGTTACAACCTCATCCCTTTCCCTAAGAACTTCGAAGAGTGTTCTTAAGGTAAAAATAAACTGAATAATTAATCAATCGTTGTGAAAGTTTTGAGAACTTTTCAAGAAAAACACAGCTGCTCGAAATATTTTTCGTTTTTATATCACATAGAAGTTATTGCAAAAGCAATACTTATGAAAACTATCAAATTTCGTGTTCCAGAAACAAAACGGGGTTGTTTCAAACCAGGTATATTTTATATACAAAATTCATTAAATTTGTATATTTATCCTTGAAAACATAATACATCTCACGTAAAAATCTTGCGGAAATATCTCACGAAACTGACTTTTCAGCTACCTGGAGTTCAATTAATTCCATTTATAGCAAAATTTCCACTTGCTGCACATAAACTTTTTTAATTTCCACTGTTTTCTCGATATATACAATCTTTCAAAATAATGGAAAATACAACAAAAACTTTATAAAAATATAAAATTCATTTACAAATGTAAAAACTATGAATAAAACCCAATTCTAACATCCCCCGTAATAGATTTACTATAGGCTATTTATTTTAAGTAAGTCTATGGGTCTTCGTTAAGTCCCAGTCTTCATTTTTACTTCCACTACTCGCACTTCTCATATACATCTGGATAAGTTTTTACAATTCTTCCCAATGAGCAGATCTATCGTCCATCAGATTTACTGTTTTCTTTCTTGGTATTCCTTTCTTTCTCGTACCATCTCGTTCGTTTCGTGAGAGTTGGAAGATATTGCCATACCGATCGAGGCCAGAAGTTTTCTGCCAGTTTTTGGGGAAAATCTCAACTTCTTTCTTATATCTTTTATCTTGAGGTCGCAGAGATGTAGAACAGGTGGCTTGACTATGCTTGAACTTAAAGTACTCATGAGGAAGTCATTTGGTGATCATCGTTTGACGACACATAAGTCAGGAGAAGAACTATATGCTCTGCTTCTAATAAAAATGTATACTTCTTCTTTCACTATAGTTTTTTCACAATGATTTTTAAGGTATATTTTATTGACCAAACCTTCTTCTCCCAGACTCTAGCTATGTGAGGATTTGACTTGCTGCTGAAATATATCGCCAATTTAACTCCTTTACAAATTTCATGATGTATTTTTATTTCTTCTATTTCTTTTTACTTTCCTATCTGTATACAGATATAAGGAAAGTATAGGAATCATGATTTTTTTCGACCTCGAGTTTTCGACGGATTTTTACGTTTTGAGGTCCCCTGAATCCGTTTTGACTATTTTCGCGATGATGTCTGTGTGTGTGTGTGTGTGTCTGTGTGTGTGTGTGTGTGTGTGTGTGTGTGTGTGTGTGTGTCTGTGTGTGTGTGTGTGTGTGTGTGTGTGTGTGTGTGTCTGTATAACGCATAACTCATGAACCGATACATAGAAAAACACCAAATTTTAAACTTAAGCTTTGTTTCAACGTCCAATGAGCTGATTAGATTTTGGGCAGAGTCGGAACATCTGGGGGGGTACTTTATAGGTGGTCATTTTTATATTTTATGGAATATATCTGTTATTTACGTTTGGAGAAGAAAATTCTTCAAATAAAAGTTACTTCTAATATAATTATCTATAATTTTTGTTTTATGCAAAATTTTCCTAAAATGGTCCGTATTCGAGAAATTTGACAAAATGTAAAAAAAAATAATTTTTTATAAAAATTGTTCAAATAAAAGTTGTTTATAATATAATTCTCTATAATTTTTAATTTTTACATAATTTCTCTAAAATAGACCGTATTCGAGATATTTGAGAAAATGTGTAAATTTCGAATTTTGAAGAAAACTCAAAAACGGATAAAGAAAAAAACATTAAATTTTAAACTTAAGGATTATTTCGGCCTGACGTAAAATGATTAGATTTTGGACAAAGTCGGAACATCTGGGGGGGTACTTTATGGGAGGCCGTTTTTATATTTTATGGAATATATCTGTTATTAATGTTTGGAGAAAAAAATTGTTCAAATAAAAGTTACTTCTAATATTATTATCTATAATTTTTGTTTTATGTAAAAATTTCCTGAAATGGTCCGTATTCGAGAAATTTGACAAAATGTGCAAAATTCTGATTTTTATGAAAGTTTTTGAAATAAAAGTTGTTTGCGATATCGATCTCTACAATTTTTGTTTATACATGATTTTTCTAAAATGGACCGTAATGAAAAAATTGTAGGAAATTTAAATTTTTCAGTATTTTCGTTTTCCATGAATATCTATAGAAAAATGTTTCAAGGTAGATGTATGTGGACAATGTATATATTTAGTTTATCCTCTAAACATTTATAGAGATGCTGCAATAGGTTGTACAAAATAACCGGAAAAGCCTATAATATCTAGATAGGAAAGTCATGTCTTGGACACATCAGATTTTTATTTTTAGTTCTTTAGATGCAGACTTCAGATGGATACCATTGTCACTCCAGATAATCGATGGCTATATATCCTCTCAAACAACCTTTTGAGTACCAAAATAACTGAGTCATAAAATCATAAAGTGTGTGTGTTGTAGGCAGCTTTTCTGAATAAATATATATTTAAATAGCCTTTACAATAAGTAAGCTCTTGTAGACAAAAGACTATAACTTACGATCTGATATGGAAATCTTGAAAAATTGTAAAGATTTTTTTAAGGATTTAGATCAAACACAACCTTTTGCGATGCTCGAGAACTCGCCGACGAAGTTGACATACCGGCAAATTTTAAGCGTATCCAGTCAGTTACGTCATAGAGTTCAAAGAAGGAATGTTAATTTTGACTATGAGGTATGAGATGATCCGATAGAAGATTCTACTTTGAAATAGAAGGCAGAGTTTGACTTTTTAACCGACTTCAAAAAAGGATATTTCGCGATATTTTTTTTTTATGTATGTTCAGCGATTATTCTTTAACACGGTGTCCGATTTTAATGATTCTTTTTTTGTTAGAAAGGGGGTACTTTAGGGGTGGTCCCATATAAATTTAGTCAAAATCTAATAATTGAGTCCATTAGAAAATCCTCAAACTCTTCATTTTTTATGTATGTTTAGCGATAATGCTTTACGACCTTGTCCGATTTATATGATTTTTTTTTTGTTAGTAAGGGGGTACCTCAGGGGTGGTCCCATATAAATTTGGTTAAGATGTGGTGATGGCATCTGCACGTTTTTGAAGTCGGTTTTTTTAAATTTTTAATTTCTAATACTTGTTAATATTATACTAAGCTATCAATGCACTTGAATCCAGGATTGATTTGACCAGTACCAAATTAAAGTAAAAAAAAATGTTTACGCTCTACAACTACCGTGTATCGGAAAAATGACTTAACAACATTAGCCATTAAACATAAACTAGCTGAAGAAGTTGTCAAAAAAATTATCAAAAATTTTCAAAATTAAAAGTGAGAAAAAACACTTTGAAGTGTATTTTTATTAATTATGTTTTACTATCATTTTAATTTAAACATTTTATAACTATATACTAGATTTATTACTTTTCTTTCTGTCCATGTAACCTTAAATTCAATATAAGGCCGATTTACGCTTATCCATCCAGTAGCCGGCGGCAGTCTTACTGGCATGCTAATTCTTTGTTGGCATAGCGCATAGCGTGAGGTTTCGTCGATTTCTTAATTTTATCGACTTCTAAATAGTATGTACTTCTAATACACTTCATTTAATTTTTTATTTCTTCAATCCTAAGGCCTTCAATGCCCATCTCTTTCTGAATTAGTCATAGAGCTGATGTGCGCGTTTGTTTGTTTTTGTTTGCATCGCATTGGATGTTCCATAAGCTTTCTTGTTCTCTATACAGTTGAACAAGTTTAAAAGTTTCATCTTCACTAAGATAGAGTGCCTTATTTGCTATTACGTATCTGCCGCAATCCTGAAAAATAATTACAAATAAGGTAAGTTGTAACTAAATTAATTAACAGGGATGCAGACGCAAATAATAGTTTTTCTTTTTAATAACTTTTGTTTATGAAACAAATAAGGCTTACTGTTTAATAATTTTTATTTATTTTATTTAGATGGCCGGAGAAGAAAAAAGAAACTGTCTGGTTACCAAAACTTGCTTAACAAGCGAAAACGGGAGGAAGACTTGTAGAAAACCAATTTAAAAATTACTAACTTTCTTGGAAATACCACACAAGACACTACTTCTAATAACAGTGATTTTCTACGTTCAACAAAATCAAACTTGTCATCAGAATTAGAAAAGTAAACTAATGAGGATGAAGATCCAAAAGAATTAGATCCTTATATGTTTCGGTCAGTGTCGATACCATCATGTTCGAGTAAGCAAGACGAAATATCCGAAGAAGTGCCTCTTTCTAACGATCCAGGTCTTTGGGCAAGTGTATTGTGTCCAATCCAGGTGCAAGAACTCGAAAAAGGTCCAATGCATTATCAAAATATATGTATCCTAAAGACAAACTTAATTAGGTAATAAAATTTCGTGAGAGACAGTGTCAAAGTCGAGGAATACCGCTAGGCATGTTAGAGACCTATCGAATGCACCGACCGTTTTTTTTCTAGAAAATCCACAATAGTATTTTCAGTATTAGAGTTTTTTATAAATCCATATTGTCTTTCTGTAATAGCGTTATTGGCATGAAAGAAGTCAGTTAGTCTATTTTTTAGAGCTATTTCAAAAATGTTTGCAAAATTATTAATAACCGAAATGGGCCTATAATTCGTAAATTTACTGGGGTCATCCGACATAAAAAGGGATGACTATTGAGTTCTTCTATTGTTGAGGAATTCTTCCATATT